AGTTTTTTACTTAATACATTAATTTTTTATTCCACAATTAGAAGTTCATGTCTTTAAAACTATTGGAAGGCTAATATTTCTTAATTCAAGGAAATATTTTGCTCATCGTTTTAAACTAAAGCACAATCCTAAATATTTTCAAGACACGTAATGAAAGCAAAACATCAATCTTAATGAAACAAGGAAGGACAGAAAAGACTTCTAGGCAGCTCTTTGCATATCAACAGGCTGTCAACAGGAGGGACCAGGAGGAGCAATTGTATAAGGTTAGACTATGCTCCACAGTGTTAATAATGGATGCTATTTGTCCAAGCAGTGGTGGCCCAGTAAAGTAATCCTAGTTACTCTAGAGACTGAGATTGAGAGAAAAAAAATCAAAGCTGTCCCTAGGGGAAAAACGTTCACAAGACTACATTTTTAATAAAGGTTGAGTCTGGTGGCCTGTGCCTGTCATCCTAATTACAGTGGAGAATGTCCTAAGAATACACTCCAAGCTGATCTAGGCAGAAATAAGACCATACCACAAAGCTAAGAAGAGCAAAAAGGGTTGGAATCATGTATGGCTCAAGTGGTACTTTCTCAGCAAGTACAAAACCCTGAGTCTGAACCCCAATGCGATAAAATAAAATCTGTAACATTCTGTGATATCTGTTGCTGGAGAGAGTGTATGCATTATGTATTTGACTCTATAATCACTTCAAGGGTTTTTCCTTTTAAACCTCAATAAGGCAAAAAAGGGGGAAAAAAGAATCCCACATGTGGATGTTAATAGTGTCAACAAATAATTCCCCCAAACAAGAAGGCCCACTCTCATCATTTTTGTTTTTAATATATATCACCCAAGAGAGGATTTTGCTCTGCAGCCCAAGCTTGCCTTCAATTCACTATGCAGTCTTCATTTCAGGATACTTGAGCTTTAGCCAACAAAGCCCTAGGGTTGTCGTGACTTACCATCACTTCTGACGTTTTAGTCTAAATATAATGAATTATTCATGCTTCAAAGTGTATGCTATAATTATTCAGTATGTAAGGTCTGTTAATTGATGAGATAAGAAAATGTACCTGACAACCCAATTAGTGTTCATTTTTCTTTCAACTTCCGAGTACAAAATTTATTGTGATATACTAGCAGTAAATACGCAATTTCATTTTATAGCGTGTCATGTTTTCCCCATATCCTTCAGTAGCTTCAAAAATATTATCTTTGGATGGCTAGAGTTTGTTTCTTTATACTGATATCAAATATCATAGATTTGATTTATTTTTTAAATAATTTCAATGAACATTCTGGTGCTTCTTATTTCCTTTAGATAAGTTTTAGAAATAGAAAAAATGAACAGTATATATATATATATATATATATATATATTCCTCAGATCTTTGATATAGCTTTGAAATATATGATCAGATCTTTGCTATATATAAGAATGAGATTGGTGAGATACATATATATAACACATACTATATATGTGTATATAATATAAAATATATGTCAAGTTGTCCTTCAGGAAAGACTAATTCCTGAACAAAATATATAGACATGTATATGCTATTCTTGAAAAAAATATAGACAGATAGAAAATAGAAGTCTAAACATACAATGTTTAAATTTTTGTTCATATTTTTAGTCTTATTTTATATTTACCTTATTACAAGGGATCTAGCATTTGTGTGTATGTGTGTGTGTGTTTGTGTGTTTGTGTGTGTGTGTTTGTGTGTGTGTGCATGTATGCACTGGGTCTTGAAAACATGGCCTCACATTCTTGCTTGTATTTTTTACTCAAGGCCTTTTGCTGCTTAATTGGTATTAAGTGTCTCACAGAATTTTCTGCCTGGATGGCTTTCAACCACAATCTTTAGATCTCAGCCTCTTGAGTAGCGAGGATTACAGATGTGAACTATGGTCACCTGGCTCATCCATGACTTTTTATACTTTCAGTGGTGTTATAAGTCTTTTATAACTAGGTTCTTTGTGACATTTGTACACTTTCATTGGCTAACTTTTGAACCACTGTGGGGCTTAGAATTAACCAATGACATTTTACAGAGGAAACAATTATCTTTCCTACAATGTCATAATAAATTTCAGATTGTACCCCATACAAGCAATTTTAGGTAGTATAAGAAGTAATCTCCTAACCATCAAAAAGGCAGGAGAAGTATGGGAGGTTGATGAAATTCTCAAGTTCACCCCTGGCAATCCCACAGAGGGTGCTGGTTATTAGCTGTTGTGGAAAGAGCACAGATTGTATGGGTTTGTCAGTCACGATCTTCTGACAAATAATTGTACAAGAAAGCCCTGCTTGTCTTTTTATATGGTAACCTATCAGTTGCCACAGATAAGGATGCTTTATTCTGGAAAAGACCATTGAACACTCCCAACAGATCCCTCTTCTTACACACACAGCACAGTGATCTATGTTATCATGCAAACACATTTTCCCCTCATCAGGGCATCTTTTCATTTTATTTGCTGTTCAAAAACACTAGCAGACAAAGGATGCTCTTCATCTTGTATGCCGCTAAAATGAAATCTTGAGGGAGGAAAAAAAGAAGAAAGAAAGAAAAACGATGCCCTAAATTTCCTTTCCAAAGTGAAGTGTGGAAAGACATCAAGCCGAGTATGTTATTGTGGCAGGAAAGTCAATTCTGTAACCACAGAGGCTAACGCCAGCAGCAGCAACCCAATCACCTCCTCACCCATTGTGAGGAAGGAGAAAGCGTTCCCTCTGTGGAAATGGAATTTCTCTTGTTCCTCCTCTTGATTATTATTAACATCTATGGGCACAGCTGCTTCCTTTCCTTTGACTAATTCTAATATCAATGTGATCATACTGGTCCCCTTTTGCTGTATCCCCAGGAACTTTTATGCATTTCCTTGTGTCCTGTTACTTTTAATTGAGAAAAGAAAAATAGAAAGCCTGTTTGATGTGCTTTGGTTCTCAGAAGATTAAAGATGATTTCTAAATGAAGTAAGCCTTGAAAACTTAGTGTTAATATACCTTATTAAATGCATTTTAATTTCAAGATATAAACAAATAGAAGATTAATGTGTGTGGGTGTGTGTGTGGGTGTGTGTGACAGAGAGAGAATGAGAGAGAGAGAAAGAAGCTCTCCACTTACATCATGCTGCCAGATCTGACTTTGTCCAGAAAACTTTTCTGTTCTGGCTGGGATCAAATCATGATCCTCTGTATCTCAGTCTCCTGAATAGCTAGAATTAGGGGTGTGAGCCACCAGCTCACAAAACAAAATACGTGGATAGTTTTATAGATGTATAAATTCCCACTGATTTTCTTTTTATGCCTGTTTTTCTAGCACATTAAGAAAGTATGCCATCTCAAATTTTTGTTGATATAATTGTATATTCTAAAGTTTGTATTCCTTTACATTGCCATCATCTAGGTTGCTTTAGATATCAAAGTTCCTGAATGAACTGTGTTATTACCTGAATTGGACTTTTAAAAGACAGAAATATAAATAATGTGCAAAAACCACACTCAGACATTGACTCTGATGATATTTTCCATAGAGAAAATTTAATATTAAATTGATTCTGCTTCCATATTTTCAGAAATTTGTATTTGTTCAAGTAACAACCCAGACTGTGAGAAAATAGAGAAAATACAGTATTTACAAGGGTAATCAACTTGGCTTGTAAATTACAATGAAAAATGCTTCTTTAATGAAAATATTGTAATAAATTCATAAACTAATATATCACTATTAAGTTCCTTGACAATTGGATTGACTTCAACATTTTTAGATAATAATATTGTGTGTGTGTTTATACATGGATAATTACTAGGTCTGCCATGGGTTTCTATATGTGTTTGTATTTATACTTGCACTCCCTTTCTATAATCTTCCACTCACATGGTTTCCTATAAACCTAAACATTAACATCTATTTGTAAAAATGACATCACTACACATACACACCCATCTTCTAGCAAGATTCTTTTACTTTGGTGTGAGAAATGGGAAAGATAATCAATGTTCACTTCTTTAAGAAGCACTGAAGCAGCTCACTTCTGTATATTGACTAGCTTCTGTGGCAATATTCTGGTTTATCTTTCTTTCAGATCAAGTCCTGCTACTTTCTTCTGTGCTGGGAGAATTCCCCAAAATGTACCAGCATTCTTTTCTGCATCACAACAGATATGAAAACTACCTTAACCACAAAAATTTGTCTGTTACCCTCAATTATTTTGTGTTCAGCAAAGTAATACTGCCCAGGGACAAAGGAAATTTTGATTGTTTAGGTGGCAATTTTTATATTTGTTCTCTCCAAAGTATACTCAGTTTACTTTAATGTAATACATGATATCATATGCTTTTGAAAATGATTGTTTAAGCCTCAGGCAAGATAACCAAAACTTTTTCCCCATTAGATGTCTCATTTCATAAGTTTATTCCATTTCCCTAAAATTGGATTTAATTCCAGTATTCTCTACATTAACGTTATGCTTCACTGGAGCCTATAGAAGAAATTTATATATTTTCTTCAAAAGAAATACAAAACCTCTTTATATGGCCTGAAAATGGATCTGCCAAATTTAATAAGTAAACAAAACAAAGAGGTTACTTTATAATATTGCTCATTTAATCATCTTCAGTGTCAATACATTACTCCCCTAGCCACTTTGTAACTCTCTGAAAGCTAGGTGAATCTGTAAACTAGCAAACTTCAGTTTCAACAGACAAAGCCACAGAGAGACAAAACCTTTCTTACTTCATAGGGCTGAAAAGACATGGTTTTCATGGTAGCATTTTATAGAGTTACCCTTCTATTTCAGATTACAGCCTGACAGTAACACTGAATTTCCAAGTATTCACCAAGTTTGCCTTAATGACTCTCATCTTTAGCTTGAAAAAAGACTGTACTACTTCTATTCTTTTTAAAAAAATCTGTGCCAGGATACCGTACCTCTTGATAACTATACTGACAAAAACCAATTGCAATATTTAATCAGCTACATTTCTGAAGGAAATACATACCCAAACCTTCAGATTCAAATAGACATGTTTCATCCACTCCTAAGTCTCGGCACCAGGATAAGAAATTTGCTGTATTATCTCGAGCAAAAAAGGAGCCTGAAGGTGCACTGGCTTTGTATGGAATCTTCTTCAATGGCAGAGTCTGAAAAGTAAAGGAATTTCACTTGGATGGAATATCTGGTAAAGCTGTCAGAGTTACATGCCAAAACATATGATGTATCAACAGAATTCTTTGGAAGGAACTTAACAACAAATAGGCTTGTGAAGAATTATAGAAAAGAAATGTAGTGTTACTGAAACTTAAACATTATGAAAATTAAAACACTAAGAAAATCTGTGCATACAGGCACATGTCCTTGTCTATTGTATACTTATTAGTAAACATATGCAAAGCTCTTTGCAGATTTTAATTGATACTTCATGCTTTGTTTATTGTTGTCATTTTTACTTATTATTTCATGTAATTATTCTACCTATATGTTCACATAGTATTTTTTCATTTGTAAAACAAACCAAAAATACAGAAATAAAAGTAGTAAATGGTATAATCCAATAGTTATATATATCATAAAATTCATAATTATACAAATCATAAAGAGAGCAATAGAGTAGTTTCCACATCTATATGATAAATAAAAATATTAAAATAATCTTGAAATAACTTTCTACAGTCTTTCTTCTAGTTTCTTTCCTTTTTCACCATACTGTATAGCTGTACTATATAATATGAACATAATTCTTGTTTATACTCTGTTTAGTATCCTTGAAAGTTACTACTTAAATTCTTCATCATTTCACTGTGAAGATGTGAAGATGATTAGGATAAGGGAAGACAGGAACTTAAACTGAGGATGATACTACTAGATGCATACATCTTTCAGCCGGGAAATCTCCACTTGCACCATACTAATACTACTTTTGTTTTCTTTAATGGGGTATAGCCAGTTTCCATGGCAAAGCATGAAGCCATAGAATGTGCATCTATATGTTGTAAAAATGAAGCCAATATTGGATAGCTTGTGCTACGCAGACCTTTATCTCAAAGAGCAAACAGATGAAAACACTTGTTATTAAATTCATAGACAGGTTGTTTCTTTTAATCACAGAGCCAGCAAATGCAATGACCAGAATGTTGTAGATTGTTGAGCTCATTTATAATAGTTGTTAAAGGTGAAGTAGGGTCCTAGGTGGAGCATTGGAGTCATTGACTTCAACTATTACTAATTTTTATATGCAGAGATTTAATGGCTATGAGAAAAATAATCCATCAGTATCTCACCTAGATTTTATTGGTCTAATCTCTAAGATCTTTCTGCTGCAGTATAGATTTTTGTTTGTTTGTTTTGCCAGGCCTGGGGCTTGAACTCAGGGCAGGGGCACTATCCCTGAGTTTCTTTTGCTAAAGGCTAGTACTCTACCACTTGAGCTGCAGCACCATTTCTGGCTTTTTCTGCCTTTATGGTACTGTAAAAATGAACCCAGGGTTTTATGCATGCTAGGAAAGCACTCTACCACTAAGCCACCTTCCCACCTGAAGTATAATTTTGATTTCGGGTAGACATAATTAAAAATATTGCATGGATGTACTAACATTTATACAAATAGTTGTGTTAGGTGTAGTTGTACAAACTATATATAAATTACCCACATAGCAATTTGTCTTATAACTATCTCTTATATAGCATACAGTAATGCCTCATAAACTTGAGGTGGGACCACATATTTTCTATTAGAAGTTTTACATCCTCAAAGCACCCTCAAAATTCATATAATTATTGTGTAGTTATGCCTGAATGCATTCCATAAACTATGAAATTAGACGTGAAAATTTTAAATATTGCCTTTCAAACCTTTTTGTTATTTACATAGAATGATGAATGGAATTGCTGGAGCTGAACTGAGATCCGATAGACATTTAGACTCAATCACTCAGGAGAATGTCTTGCTACTGTAGCTCACCCTCTCATTCTATAATCTGTGTTTTCCTTATACTTCCCAATGATACTAACCCAAGATATATACAATTGTAGTATCTTGATGCTGATTGGTTGGCTGAGTAACCTAAAGAGAATGCGTAGGCCGGGTCCGGTAGCTCAGGCCTGTAATCCTAACTACTCAAGAGGCTGAGATCTGAGGAGCTCGGTTCAAAGTCAGCCTGGGCTGACTTTGGAGAATCTTATCTCCCATAAATCACTAGAAAACAGGAAGTGGAGCTGTGGCTCAAGCGGTAGAGCCCTCGCCTTGAGCTGAAGAGCTGAGGGATAGAGCCCAAGCCCAGAGTTCAAGCCCTACGACCTACCAAAAAAAAAAGAGAGAGAGAGAGAGAGAGAGAGAGAGAATGCTTATATGCTTCAAAAACACAGTTCTCATTTTCTTTAGGCAATTACTAAAGTTGGCTGCAATAAAAATGACTAATTTAAATTATCTTGTAAAGGTTTTCATCTAATCCATGGCCTCTCACATTAATCACTTTTTGATTAAAAGGTGATTTGCTTTGACTTTTGGAGCACACTTAATGGACTTCATACAAACTATAGTATCTACACTGTAGGCACTTTGGCAACTCAATCAAACCTATGTCTCAGTCTTTTTTATACAATGCACTTAGAAAACATATACATCTCATCTATGTAAGTAAAAGTTAAATCATATAATTAAATTGTAGCAGTAAGTGTTCAACAAAGAGTATATATTGGCATTGTCCTCAATACAAGCAAACAACACATTAAATTACCTTTTCTCGTTCATAGATACATTTTTTCTATTTTGATATAAAGTTCAATGAAAGCACCGGAAAATAATTTAATTCTTCCTTTTTCTGTTAATGTAAATATCTGCTTCTAGAATACTTTTCAGCACCCATGGAAAGGTTGCATCTAGTGTATTAAACACTGATGAGCATTGAGCTGTCCTGAGTGTACTAGATATCTAGTGTATTGGATAAGTAACCTACTTTATTTTATTTTAACCAACCTCAATTTTAATAGCCACATGTAGATAATGCCATCATGGTAGATAAAACATATGTAATGAGGAAAGAAAAATTATTTGGTTTTTATAAAATTGGATGTTGACCACTTGACAGATTTTTTCCCCAAACCATACCATCATCTCCATGTCTCCAGTTCCCCTTAAATCCTATAGTTCCTGCTATGTGTGGTCTTGAGATAGACAATTGTGCTCACTATTTACCAGGATTTTATTTATATGATGAAGTGTTCAACACAAGAATCTATTAGTAGAGCAGTAATGATTAATCTATTTAGAATTCATATGTAATAATCTATATCCAGAGAGCCAGTATCTTATTAAGGGCAGTGCTCTGTGACACAGATACAGTGCTTTATTTAAAGGATGTACTGCCTTGATTTTTCAAACTTATAGTCTAGATGGGATGAATTAATCTATAGAGGGAATGCCCACCATTCTCTCTAGGCATACTGCACTTAACTTTTTGTGAGATAGCCCTTTCAACTCTCAGAGCACAGCATCAGGAATGAGGTAGATAGTCCTATCACCATTTTCCAGATGAATAACCTGAGTTTCCATATAGTTCAAATTAAATCATTCAGTCTCACATCCATAGACTGTGAACTACTCCATGAGAACCAACTATGCCTTAATTTAAACAGTTTTCAGCATGTGATTTTATTTCCCAATTTTTTGGCCAAGTAGAATTAAAATAAAGAATTATGTATTGCCTGTCTCCTATTTCATCTAGGAAAAAAGACTGAGAGTATGGAGTCTTTCTGTAGATAGTAAATTGAAAGTTTAATACTAGGAGTTTAAATAATGCATTCTGCACCAGAGTTTAAGACATACTCCTCTCAATTACTTTCAGTAGACATTGCAGATATAAAACAGAAAGAAGATGTAGTGCTTGCCAAGAAGTAATATCTCTGCTTTTCCAAAGGGTATATAGAATGTACTGTTCAAATATGCAGGCAATAAACTCACTCTTTCCATGATGGAATTCACAGCCTCCATCTGTATTCCCATGTTGCATTTAGTTTCACTACGTATTTTATTGAAAAATAATCTCTTTCACTAAAATCATCTCATTGAACATTCATGGCATCACTGTGTCTAAATATAAATAGCAAGTGGTTTTGTAGAGGATAACAACCCATTCTCTAAGATCAAAATTGCAGAGAATTCTTAAAGAGGAGAAAAAAAATCTTTCTGGTATCATAGCATTGGGGAATCAACTATAGGACCACATGCCTTAGTTATGATTTAGTACAGTAATAACTGAAAGAGCTAAGCTAGAATTCCAAATGGAGGCACCTTACTTTCTCTCCAAGAGGAACTCTACATTATAAAGATCTCACCATGCATCAAAGTTTTGTTGTAATTTTAATACCATAGTATAACTATATTCACAAAATAAAAAAGAAATAAAAAATGTTTCTTATAGTAGACATATGGTATACTTTTCTGCATTTGAAAGTTCAGGAATAATCATTTACACAATCAAGCTAGCAAAGATGCAAAGCACTTTGAATTACTTGGAATAATCTCTTATATAACTATGAAATGATGCTAAAAATGAAGGCCACATATAGATATCAAACCTCAGGGTCAAATAAGATAAACCATAAATGTTATGCTATAAATGACTTCTAAAGTTTCACCTACTGAAATACCTGCCCAGAAGTTCATGGCAGCTTTCTGCATAATTACTAAAAGTTGGAAGCATCCAAGAAGGACTTCAGTAGAAGGTTGAGCACACAGGATTTTAAGGTTAGGAAAACTGATCTTAATTTAAATATATATATATATATATATATATATACTTATACTTGGATTTTCATTTCTAATAAATAGTTTGCATCTTTTAAGGTGTAATAATTGATCATTATTAGTAACAAAGTTTGGGTTCACAGAGTCACTAATTGTAATTTTTTAGTGATAGGTACTTTTTGATACCTCTCTGTGAAACATCATAAACAGAAAATACGTTTTAAGAAAATCAAATTATTTTATTGATGAATTCCAGGAAACCAAATGAAGTTTTCTAAACACTTTTTTTCTTGTCAGTCATTGGGCCTGAACTCTGGGCCTGAGAGCTGTCCCTTAGCTCTTCAGCTCAAGGAGAATGCTCTACCACTTGAGCCACAGAATCACTTCCGGCTTTTACTG